GTTGAGTACGATAGCGGCTACTCCTTCGATCCCGATTTCTTTTCTGGCCTCGTTTGTAACTCGGAAGGATGTTTGTAACTGAGGGTCTGTGTAATCGTGAGAGAGGTTCTGGATACGTAGTTTCGAGAATGTGATACACTCCTCTGTGAGGTGAATCTTCTGTTGTTTGACTAGACATCGTCTTGCATCTGTAACACTTCAAATAGATTACTCTCATTCAAATTCGGTTTCAATGCATAAATAGTAATTTTCTGTCATATACATTAGACAAAAAAAGAAGCATCACAGTCATCAAAACATGCAAATGACCGAAGTAGCATTGTTAAAGTATTTCTAGAAGAAGTTCGTTTGTTTGTAGTTAAGCACAAAGTTACACGATGGGTTATATGTGCTCTGTCCACCGCGGGTATCGGATCCTGATTTTTAGCGTTATAAGCCCTAGGACTTACTTCTGCGCCACTGGAAATTCTTCTTCAAAAGGATGTTGTTGTTTGTAATTAAGCACAAAGCTAAATAAAGGGCCATCTGTGCTCTGCCCACCACAGGTATCGAAACCCGGTATCTAGTGGTATAAGTGGAATAATATGAATAGTTCTGTAATACTAAGGTTTATTGGCATGATACGTAAAGCACATTGAACAATATAATTATTTCGGTTAAATATCTAAACTTCACTATTTTCACGAGGATTGGTCAGTAGTGTGTTTAAAAACCTATCCAGAGCTTTACCACAAAAAAAAAGAAATAAATTCCTAAAATGTTGAATATTTTGTGTAAACATTCAAGTATTATTTGAGTATAATATGAATTTTGTTCCCATGTGGGCTTCCACTGTACCCACAAACTTAATAAATATTTCTAGATTATTGCACTGTATAGTGAAAACGCCACTTTCTACCCATCACCCCTTCCTGTCTCTTGGGCCTAACGAAACTTGGAATTGGCCTTGAATATGGACTTTAGCAACAAATATGTTTTTTATTCCATTGATAATAGCTTTACTCTTTTTAATTTGTCTTAGAGAGAGAGAGATGTTTGAATAGTTAGCTTTTGAACAGTTTTTATACATTTGTTCAATAATTCGTATAAAGAGTGGCTGGTTGAGGACGCCAATATCTTGTAATGGAGCAATCTTCTAAACAAATATAATAAAATAATACAATGTATGTGTATATATATAATATGTGTGTATGTACATATATATGTATGTGTATATATATATATACACACACACAAGGCTTCTCTTCTTAAAATATTTATTTGCTGGTTCTGTCATAGAGTTCAATTCGCTGCCTATTGGTTAGTGTGATTAGATCTGATGTTATGTGGTTCGCATCCCATTATGCAAATAAAAAGAAACCGCTCTCCTCCTGTTAAGGAGAGAGGTGCGTTATGAGAGTGAAGGTTAAATCTCTTTATTCGGTTTGATAAGAATAGTCCAAGAGTTGGCAATGGGTGGTGTCGATTAGCTACCTTCCCTCTAGTGCCTCACTTCATAATTAGGAACGGCTAGCATAGATAACCCTTGTATAGCTTTACACGAAATACAACAAGAAGGCTAGCATAGATAACCCTCGTATAGCTTTACACGAAATACAACAAGAAAACATTCTTGAAAATTAACATTATTCTTATTGTCTTTTCCTTTTTTATTTATAAATGAACTAATATTTTAAAGAAAAATCAGTTGAATTATTTAATTTCTTTCAGTATCGGATTTTATTCTTATTAATGCTAAGTGAACTTATCAAGACATAAAAAATTTTACTATTGTTTGGTGCGAAAAAATGACGCTTTTCACCACCTTTGGTTACTTATTGCTTGGCCAGATTTTTCGTTAGTTTTTTGGGATAATGAATGAGGATGTAAAATAAGTAGACAATAATAATAGTACACATTGGGATGATATGAAATAGGAGTTATATGATATATTTCAATATCATTAAATATCATTTAAAAATATAAGCTCTTAAAATGAGTATGAATACAACAAAAGATTTTTCAATTTGATCGGTTTTTCAATTTCTTTTTTTTTCAATAACACCCATCAGTTCTTTATTATAAAATTGTCTCCCGGTGGGACACCAATAAGTCTACGGACTTACAACACTAAAATCCGGGATTCGATTCTCTACGGTGGGCACAGCAGATAGCCTAATGTAGTTTTGCTCTAAAACAAATAAACAATGCTACCAAATTAACTTAATCAGGCTATTAACTGTTAAATGCCTTAAGTATCATTCTTTGATAAGTAGGCTATTATAACGTATAAAGTATAAAATTAATATTATTAAAAAGGTGTTGTTCGGGATATTTCATATTTCCAGGTGGCTAAAATGTTCAATATTGGAACAGGTAGAAGATACAAATATCGAAAAAGTGCGCGATAAAGACACATTTAATTCTATTATCAATATAAATGAGAAGATAGGCTTGGACGCCAAGGATGTGTTTGTATTTCCTCGATTGTAGGAGCATTGATGTCTCTGACCGCAACTGACCGGAAAGTTAAAAATAAACTATGTAACTGATCTAGATGTAAATTGGCAGCATCAACAATTGGGTCATTCGTAATGTTGTTGTGAGACACATAAAATGATAAACATTATTATCATTCGATATGTTATTATGTGCGTGATAAATATTCCATCATTCCAAATGACAAAACAAACAAAATTCACATCTTAGATGTTTTCATTGTAATTAAACGTGCACATGAACACAAAAGTAATGCATAGTGGTTACCAGTCAAAAGGGTATTACAAATATATGCCTATTGTTTATTATTATAACAATAATATAATAACGTATCTGAAATAGTTCGCTAATGCTTATTTTTTGTTGTTATTATAACTAATGATCAAAGGTTGTCTGCACTCACAACCATGTTACAAGTTATCGTATATAGGGTGTTGTAACATTTTATACCGCCACTATGTGCATTTATATAGATGGAAATATACCACTAAATATTGATTTACGCTGCTTTCGTTAATTAAATAAGTAGATAAAATTGCATTATGCGCTTAAGACCGATACAGTGATAAAAAAATTTAAAAATCCGAAAAAATCTGAAAGTACGGATGAGATGAAAGCTTAACTATAACCCTGAAAGTACAGATGAAATTAAAGGTTAACTATAACCCTGAAAGTACAGATAAGATGAAACTTAATTATAACTCTGAAAGTACGGATGAGATGAAAGCTTAACTATAACCCTGAAAGTACAGATGAAATTAAAGGTTAACTATAACCCTGAAAGTACAGATAAGTTGAAAGCTTAACTATAACTCTGAAAGTACAGATGAGATGAAACTTAATTATAACTCTGAAAGTACGGATGAGATGAAAGCTTAACTATAACCCTGAAAGTACAGGTGAGATGAAAGGTTAACTATAACCCTGAAAGTACAGATGAGATGAAAGCTTAACTATAACCCTGAAAGTACAGATGAGATGAAACTTAACTATAACCCTGAAAGTACAGATGAGATGAAAGGTTAACTATAACCCTGAAAGTACAGATGAGATGAAAGGTTAACTATAACCCTGAAAGTACAGATGAGATGAAAGGTTAACTATAACCTTGAAAGTACAGATGAGATGAAAGTTAACTATAACCCTGAAAGTACAGATGAGATGAAAGTTAACTATAACCCTGAAAGTACAGATGAGATGAAAGGTTAACTATAACCCTGAAAGTACGGATGAGATTAAAGCGTGGAATGTGATGTGAGTTTCTAAGGACTCAACCTATAATTCATGAATAGCTATTTATTGTTCTGGCTTAGATGGTGTTACGACAAATCTTGTTGTAAGAAGTGTCAGCTCTGCCTGTGTTCTTTAAATTGCTACATCTATACAACAACAGTTTCTTTTATATTTGAAGAACATGAATTAGTTAAATAAAGACGGCACAGATTGGCAGGGTTTCTAGCTTTATAGTAAAGTGAAACTCAACCTTTATTTTTACTTATCATTTTTATAAGACACGTATATATCAGAGAATATATATCACAAAATCATGGCTTTTATATCAATAAATCTTAGTTTTTGTCACTGCAATAACGAAGTTTGCGATTTCAAAAATCTAAATTTTAACTTAAAAGAAATTTTAATGTACATGATATAACTAAAACAAGAGTTTAAAATGGCACTATAAATCGAATCGGTTAAGTATCTAACTGATGGTGAAACCAATATCTTCATGTTTTCAGTTTCTTTTTCATAAAGGAATGTAAAACTTATGAAAAATCCCTTACTCAGTGACTTGACCTTTTAGTCAAATCTTGAGCTACAATTTCTGTGAAGTAGTACGTTTGGCCGATATAACAATTTTGAAGGTGAAACCTTAAAGACAGGAGGACGTGTTTCCTAAACAATGCATGAAATAGACATGGAGAAATATTTTGAATGTTTTTTAAACCAATATTCTCCAATTATGTCTGGAGACAAACCATGTGGTGATTTATATATCTCATTCACTTTGTCAACCGAACTTAACAATTTATCCAGTGAAGAATCCTTAGTTTGGAAAATAGTTCCAGTTTTTTGTAAGAATAATAATACATATTCATGCGCCAATGTGAAAATACATTAATGTAATCGAAGAAATCTCATAGTGCATTCATTTTCCAATTTCTCACACACATGTGCATATATAAGACCAATGGAATCGTTGAGATTGTACAGGCTAGAGACTTTGGTTAAGAAGGTGAGTCGCCAGCTTCACATTGCACTAAAAAAAATCTAGTAAATAGTTATTACCCAAGTCTGGAATTTGTGAAGATGGGCGTCAGTATGTTACTGTTAAAATAGCTATGTGGCAAGTCTCCTTGGAATATAGGAGAGGTACTGATGAAGTTGGCTTCAGTTCAAAAATCTCAGTGCGTAACGAAGAGGTATTTACTTCTACATCTAGCTTGTCAGTCTTTACTCTTATTTTATTATGTATGATGTAAAGTAGAATGTTTTATAATATAGAAATTAAATATCTGAAACTACCCCTGGATAACAACAGATAATTTCGGAAATAAATGTGACTTTGTATGCTTTAAATAATTTACTCAAACTATATATCTACAGTAAGAGAAACAGAAGTAATACTACGTTTATTACATCGCAATACCCCCCCCCCCAATTGGGCCAGCGGAATACTTGAGGGTTTATAACCCGCCAAGTCAGGGTTCGATAACAGGGGTGAGTACAGTTCATTACGCAACTTTATGCTTAAAAACAAAAGCAAAAACATATAGACGTAACAATAATTATTTGATTATGTTTTGTGTTCGGTATGAATAATATGTATTTAACATAAGTATTAATACAATTTATATTTGAAAAACATTTGCTGGAATACGATGACAGTGCATGATGCAAATATACTCTTATGGAAATATAGATGATATAATATATTTTGCACTGATTGAGAAAAAGAGTTTTAAATAAATGAGGAACAGGTGGGCTCTATTCAGTGGAAAGTCCACAAAGGGAAATACATGAATAAAATTGTTGTTGTTTTTGACACCAAGACAAATGGATTTCTTTTTTGTTAAATTTGACTGGGGAAACTATAGTTCATACTTAAAAATATGTTTATTATTTATATAGTATCCCTTCTGGTACCTACTATAATTCTTTCATGTATTTTTTTAACTTTTGACCAACATATTCATACTACTGGCATTGGGTTTCTGCTAGTTTTCACATTGTAAATGTATCTTTTTCGAGCGTTCCTCAGAGTATCACTGGTACGTTTACGGATTTACAATGCGAGGTTTGATTATCCGTGATAGGCAGAGTGCAGAAAGCCCATTGTGTACCTGTGAACTAAGAAAAGAACGAGAGGTATTTCAAGTAAAGAATATACTTACATCATGCAATCGAAAACAAAAAAGGGGATAGTGATAAAATAATGTTTTAATAATGTTCACAACGTTTCGGGCTGGGATGCTCTTTCTCTGGTGATGTTAAACTTAGAGAATTCCATGACTACATCCTCCCAATCATAAAGAATGGTAAAATCAATATTGTGGTTTTTTTCTGTTACCATTGGTTTCGACTTCACTAAGAGACACCGCATATATATTGGTGAGAATGTGTGGCATTTTAAGCAATACTACACTGCTTACATTAATGGAATTAATGGGGAAGAACTACACTTTAAACCAGTAAACCAAGCAAAAGTGTAAGTTATAAATATGATAGAATAATCTGTTAGTGTAAGTCCATGAGATCTTCCCTGAGGAAAACAGTAAGGTGCAATGTTATGAACTTTGTGAATATAAAAACTACATCTACGTTAACGTTTTCTATGTCACTAAGAAAGATCTAATACTTTGTCAAGCCTATGTGAACTTAATTAATACTCTTCAATACATTTAATCCTTTTATATAATCAACTATTACAAATTATAATTTACTAAAGTTTGTGAGTAATTCATTACGCATACTTTGTAAAAGTTGCAAGGAGATAGTTGCTTCAGGTTAGCTATTGTATTATTTAGAATTAATGCCTTGTATGCTCGCACTTTAAGACATAATAACTTCTATGTTGAACAGTTTTTTATGAACTGTTCCTGCCTTTATCTAATTTGGAGACTATTTTTCAGGTTTAGTGATGACTACTTTATCAGGTTTTCACATAGTGCCCAAAACGCCGTATCAAGGCTAGACAGGAAGAATTCAAGGAAACTATTCAACATGTCGTCAACACATAACCTAAGTATTTCTTTTAAATACTAATAATAACTTTTAAATGTAGAAGTATAAAGAAATGTTCGTCTAAAAACCCTCAAGTATTGCCCCATCTTGCAGTTTGGGCCTAATACAAAAAAAATCGAGATTTTGTCAACAGATACTATTTCAACGATGACTGTCCAACAAAAAGCACGAACCATTCATTAGTACACATACTTCAAGTATGTTGCTCTTTAACTATCGAGCAATGCAATATAAGCGATGGTATGAGCAGTTCAAAGACACAAGGTAAGAGTATTCTCCGAGGAGCACTGAAAAAAACGAACGTTAGCGAAGATGCTGCCCTCTCAGTAACTAAGACCTTTAAACATTGCTAAGGGAAATTTTAAGATTTAAAAACACACGGTGAAACTCCTGCTGATTGAGCAGGAAAATAAGGCTGAACTCATTATGGACACTATTTTCTCAACAGGAAAATTATGACTATACATTTTTCATTTGGATTATCGTGTCCGATGTGGCAACAGTCCATCTGTGTGGAACAGTCAACAAACTTAACTATCTTGCGTAGAACGTGCGAGACTCGTCAGAAACTATTGTGTTCTATTTCGCTAATGAAAATCTGTGGTCACTTTCCATGATATGTTTCTGAATCTCTGAATTGGCCATATAAAACTAATATTCTGGACACTTTGTTATCAACATCTAGCATCACTTGGCTTTTGACAGTGGGGTCAGATCATATCTATAGTTTTTGCCTCACGTCCAGATACACATGATGATCTCAAAGATCGTATATCACGGGAATAGACACCCGGAGATGTGCACCAAGGGTAACAGGGGTTATGTGGAGGTGGTACGAAACCTGAGGGTAAGTAGATCAAAACGTCTTCATCCTACTTTATGTAAACTTAATTATATTTCAAAACGTGAGAAATCATTCATTGAGCCTTATTTAATAAGTATGAAGTCTAGAATAAACAAAGCTAAAACCTCGCAGTAAAAGAGATATAAGTAAAAGTTAATTAAATATTAATATTTTATTCTTTTTACAGGGCGATTTAATAAAAATGCGCCTGGTAATATGCTTAAGGAGACATTTATTTCCCTACAGACAAGTAGTTTTTACTTATAAATAATAATTAGAAATATGGAATTTTTTTAGCACTCTATCACTTGATACGTGTACATTAACAGCGGTGTGTAGCACTGTAACAACTGAAACGTGTAGAGTAACAACACTGTATAGCACTTTAACAACTGAAACGTGTAGAGTAACAATATTATGTAGTACAGTAACAACTGAAACGTGTAAAGTAACAACATTATGTAGTACAGTAACAACTGAAACGTGTAGAGTAACAACACTGTATAGCACTTTAACAACTGAGATGTGTAGAGTAACAATATTATGTAGTACAGTAACAACTGAGACATATATACAGTAACCGTAGTACTTAGCACTCTTAAAAACTGAAACGTGTAGAGTAACAACAATATGTAGCATTCTTACAACTGAGACATATACAGCAAAGGCAGTATTTAACACTCTTAACAACTGAGACGTGTAGAGTAACAACAACATGTAGCTTTCTAACAACTGAAACATGTACAGTAACAGCAGTATTTAGCACTCTTAAGAACTTAGACGTGTACAATAAGAACAATATGTTATAACAACAAAGACGTGAACAGTAACAGCTGTATGTAGCATTCTAACAAATAAGAATTATATAATGATAGCAGTGTAGCATTTTAGCAACTGAAACATGTACAGTAACAGCAGTATGTAGCATTCTAACAAGTGAACACACTAACAGCAGTTTGTAGTATTGTAACAAGTGAAACATGTACAGTACAACAATATGTAGCATTCTATCAACTGAAACATGTAAAGTAACAACAGTGATTAACACTCTATCAACTGACAGTGTTCAGTGACAGCAATATATAGCACTAACAACTGACAGTGTTCAGTAATAGCAGTATATGTTATTTCAACTACTGAGACGTATAAAGCAACAGAAGCATATAACATTCTAACAGCTTAGACGTGTAAGTAACAGCATTATGTAGCTCCTTAACAACTGAAACGTGTACATTAACAGCAGTATGTTGCACTTTAACTACTGAGACGTGTAAGGTAACAATAGTATGTAGCACTGTAACATCCGAAACGTGAACATCAACAACATTAATTATAGTCTACTGTCCATTATTAGCATATGAACTGTCAGTTACTAGTACAAGACAGATTAGTCGACAGATTTATATATTTCTTAAATCTCATATATATTGGATTAAAATAACACACTAGGTTGTTTTGCAAATTACTTAGAATAATGATAATGAATTATCCACGTGCAGAAATATGTTTCCTTGGTTTTTCAAATATTAGTAACTTACAGAAGAATTAAAAATCAAACTATTTAAAAATGGACGTTATCATAAGTTACAAAAGTATCTATATAAATAGTTTGTCAGTTGTTAGTTGTATGTCCATGTAACTACTTCGCAGGGTGTGGATGGATCTTCACCCAAATCGGTATAGAGGTTCATTAGGTCCATGCCGGAATACATACAAAATTTTATTTTGTATTTTGCGTTTTGCGATTTTCATGGGCGTTTTTGCATTTTTGCCAGAGGACGGGTACTCCAGCTAGTTTATAATAAAGTAACAGTTAACAAAATATGTGTTGAAGTCGGAAAACGTGATCTAAAGCTATAATAAAAGTTTTGTTGCAAGAAACGAAACATTATAGATAATATTGAACTTTGTGTAGTCAACCACAAAATATATTGTTATTATTATTATTTTAATGAGCGAAACGTCCAAGATAATTGTCGTAATTGGCTAGTTATATTCATACTATTATGGCAGGAACTAAACTCTGGAAAAAGATGGAAGACCCAATCACTCAGAAATGATAAGCACAACGGACTTTGAAGGGAACAAAATACGGTGTGAATATACAATGTAAACAATGTGAAAAGGATGGAAGACCCAATCACTCAGAAATGATAAGCACAACGGGCTTTGTAGGGAACAAAATACGGTGTGAATATACACTCTAAACAATGTGGAATTACAACTCTAGATGTGAAAAAATACTTTTAAAGGAAATAAACTTAAAACGGTATGTGCATATGATTCATTCATTTACTATTTTAAAAGTGCTTATTCTCACAATTTTACCAACTTAAGGAAATAATACTAAAATCACATCAAAGTTCTAAACAATTAAAGAAAACATTTTTAAAGTATTTTTTTTAATAATTAACCTTATACTTTACTGCATCGAGAACATTTTTTTTATTTTTAATGCCATTCATTAATGACATGTACATGTTTTCACTGTATCTACACGTTGACAACTTACTCACTATACATCAGGACAAGGCTTTTCAGTGGCAGAATACCTTCTAAAATCAAGATGTGTAATTGTAACAGACACACAACAAAGCAACGTTTAACTGAGACATAAATATCATATCCAAATATTTATAATAAAGAATTTATCATTTTTAAGACGGCTTATCAGAAACCAAGTGCTGTCGAGGCTTGAATAAAGTTGGAATGAAAAAAATATATAGAACTTTGTTGATATGAAGAATTCAAATGCAACCATAGCCCATTACCAATTTATTGTATTTGTGCTGTTTGAGACATTAAAATTTAGTTTAGTTTAATACTAGTTCGTGAAAAGGTGTGTAATTGAAATTCACTTCCTATTTTCACAAAAGCACGCTACGATAAGATAATGTTAACACAAAATTCTGAAGACTAAAATACTTGCTTTGTTGATTATCTTAGTAACATTAAATTGAAGTCATTGCAGAACATAACTAAGGAATACATGATTAAACACCTGCAAGTTTTTTGTTTTTTTTACTTCATGTTACGTCTATCACTACCATACATATTCCTGTCTGTAGAGCAACGCCATGGGGGTTTGAAAATTGTGTACCCTCATAAAGAAATGTTCCCAGGTGTAACTAAAAATCAATCTATTAATATTAACTTAATTCAGGGCAAGCTATATATTTAGGGCGAAAATAAAATTCAACCTAGAACAGACAATTACTATAGCTAATTAAATATACTTTTTCTACGTACTTATTTATAAAGATTAGAATGCATTGTTTCATTAGTTGGGTTCCCTCGCTGTTAACGATGGAGGTTTTATCTATAAACGTAGCAGTCTATAAGTTAATCTGCGTCATTTTGGTCTGTGTAACTTAGAGCGTTGAATGCGTTGTCCTCCATATAAAACATGACCACTTCCAGTATAGTATTTTATTACCCCACAACTCAATATATGATGTACTACTAGACCTTTCAGTCAACAACATATTTTAGTTATCTAGCATCCATGTTAAACGTGTAGATTCACACATAAAACATGTACTGGGACATTTGCTACGGAGTTTTCACTCAGCATCACACATGCAGTTGTTAGCATTACGAGCGGTCTCATTTTATTGAGTAGCAGTGTTCACGTAGAAAAATTATGTATAACATACGCGTGATCGGTATTTCAATAATCATCACCCATTGCCTCATTATGACTCACCTTCCTATTTTGATCTAATATCCTGGATTATTTGTTAGTTTCCGTCATCTTTATCTTGGTAGTAGATTAAAATCATCAAGAGACAGAGTTATTACGTTGTAATCGAAACGACGAACGTTTACTTACCGTTTGTATCTTAGAAAACGCAGGTTTCAAACAACGGCGAGGTGTTTTAAAGTACAGAAGAAAGAAATAATTTTCTTTACTTTCATAGCAGAGTACGTCATGTGTTTGTTGGAAGCTTCCTTGTCTTGCGACTTCGGGAAGATGATAATTTCTGAGAAACGTCCAAGCTAAATTTGTATTTGAAGGGCAAGTAAGTCGCAGATTATAGAACTACTCGTTCTCTACGACGTCAGCTGTAACTAAGTCACGTATACAGAACGTCCTTTGCAGACACATTTTACTAGTACGTTTAATCCAATAAAACTACTAGCATTTTTGTCATTAATCTATGTTTACTCTTAAAACCAAGATCTTTAAGCAGCTAATAGAAATACGTATTTATCCACGTAAAATATTTATCGTCTGCAATTAATTAGAAAATATTATGTACAAAAGCAATCAGTAACTCAAATAATAATAATCCGAAAAAAAAAGAAAAATGTAGTTAGAATCTGAAGTTCCCAGATTTCTATTTTTCACAAACAATCTGTTTTTATCGGATCAATAAAAAATGTAATATGCAATTAAAACATGTTCAACTTAAAAATATAAAATCATCGATTTTTAACATTGCGAAGTTTGGGATCTTACTCATATTTTTACATTATGGCCTTTGTATTTAATAAACAGTTAAATCTTACTCGCATTTTCGATTTTATATAAGGCGATATCATTATGATGAAGCAAATAAATGCTACAAACTGCACGCATTTCAAAGTTTTTGCATTTTATAAATCTTGTGAAATTATCTAAATATTGAATAACATATGTTTATATATTTTGGTATATAAACATATACTTTGTACAAATTAAGCTATATTTCACAAACTTTGAAATGCTTGCTCTTACAGGTGTTTTTATATTACTAGTTGTTTTATATTGAAAAATGATAGTTAAAGGTATGTTATATTACTCTTCTTCTCATTGTATTTGGTATTGTTCAACCTGAGCGGCACTACATGATCTAAAACACCCAGGTCAGAGACACTTATGGTTTAGCCAGCTATCTATTTTTTAGAATTACTGTTGAAAGGTAAAGTAATCAATTAGCAGGATTGCTGAAATAATTATAACACCACCATATCTAAAAGTACAGACCGTATTTTGGTTTTATTTGGTGGTTCGTAGTAACTAGATCTGAAAAAAAAACTATAAAAAAGGCTTTAAAACAATGTATCTATTAAAATTGTAATTATTTTGGTTTCAAACAATAGTTTAACATTTTGCACTTAAAATATGAAAATATAAATAAAATAAAATTAGAAACTATAAATAACTAAATTACCAATTTAAACCTCTCTATAAAACTTTTCATGAAACAGCCTATTTCAAACTTCACAGAACTAAGAAGACAAAAAGAGCTAAAGCTCTCTTTATAGATCATAAGTTCTGATAATACAGAAATTAAAATGTTCAGAACAGTTTAAATAACACTTGCAGTTGTCCCCCACTTCAGGATTCCGCCTCACGCTCGGGGGGGGGGGGGGAGATGTCATCCAGATGATTATGTCATAGTGCAATAAAGTTTCAGCAGAGGACGCGTTAGTAAGCGGTCACGATGTCATAGAGGATGACGTCATACATCCACAAAATGTCACCAGAGGGTGCGTTGCTAGGCGGCCATGATGGACGATTATGTAATAATTACACGAAATAAAGAACGTGTTGCTAGACCGCCATGACAGGCGTCAATGACGTCATAGTTTCACCAAGTTGGGCCAGTATAAAATCGATCAACATGTCTCAATGTGACTATATTTAACACTGTCGGTTTTTAACACTAATTTATTCTATACATTTCCTGACCATTTATATTTAAATAGTCCTAAAAGGATGATATCATACATTATTTAAAACTTACTGTTTGACTCTTTAATTATAAAACAATTGATTAAAAATGTTCAGTAATATGATTATAATTAAAAATTCTGGACACAATATTCTCTTTTTAAAAGTATATTAATTTTCTCACAATAAAGATTTTTCAATCTGATCTACATAAAAAGACACGTCTATTAAGGGCGTATTTACATGAAAACATTTTTCAACAAAATCATGAACAAACATATCATTACTATCTTTGTGGGATCCAAATATAGGTAGGAGTTTTGGTTTCGACAGATGTCGACAACGATAATAAGCACAATATATACAATACTGTTCACACACAGATGAATATGGTCCTTGCTGTACTTTTTCTAAGTCCATATTCGACAATTCTTTTTGATGAATTTTCTTATGTAGTGATTATGTGGAGATAGTCCTAAAGTATCAAATTATTATACTTTTTAATTTCGACCAAAATAAATACAGACCCAGTGGCTACCGGCTTTATGACTCGGATCCACGTTGACAATGTGTGTGTGTGTGTGGACACAAATCTTGCAAGAGTATGGAATAAATTTAAAATGTGTTCATAGCTTCTTAGATATCAATTATGATGTTTCTAGACTGATCAATTTCTAGAATTGACTGATATTCTTCATATGCTAGAACATTTATAATGTTAGATAAGGCACTACCAAAACGTAACTTTCCCTGTTTCACCAAGGTAAAGTGAGAATCTCCATCAGATAGATCCAGTGTAAGATCAAAGGCAAAGAGTGTATATCCTCCCGAGTATTCGTCATATCCTATATCAATTCCTTGATCTTCGTATATTTTCACGTTCCATTAAATAATGTTTCGTAGCTTTGTAGGTACAGCTCAGCATCAAAATCTGGTTGTGAAGGTCGAGCGGGAATTTAATTTCTATCCACGTTTATTGCCACGAAAATGGTACTGTAATGCTTGAAATTGTATGGATTTTTCTTTCAAGATCCATACATAGTTATCAACACATCCTACAACAAGACGTGTAGGTTCTTGACCCAAAAAAGCATTATCAATAGATGTATAGATACATGAGAACGACTTGCACACTATATATGTCAAAGGATATTTATCTGTTCCTTTCTGAAATGTTTCAGCATGCAACAGAATGACTGACGGGCTGATCTTGACTTTTCGAATGTAGATAGAAACGTGTTGTAATATAATTTTGGATTCCTAATCATCGTTTGACATGATATAAAACGAAACTTTACTTCGTATGAGTCACATTTTTATACTTAAACCATTAGGCAATAACTTGTTCTGTAATAAGATATCCAAATGTAGACGACCGATCATGTCGACTGTTTGTCGACTACCCACTGCGTCTTTAACGATGTCAAATGACTTCTCTTAGCTTCACCATTATAACTCAGTAAAGTTTCTATATAGGCCTTATATACATAAAGGTTGTGAAATGAAGAAATGAGTTTGTCATTCCGGTGTAAGTCCACTTGAGAAAATAGAGAATGAAGTAACAGGTTGACAGGTGCAGAGGTATGTTTATC